AGATACGGTATTAACCTGTTCTTCAAGAGTTGTAAACATCATACTATGGCGGTCACTTATGCTGCTACTGATGAATTACATAGCAAAGAGGAGGAGTTTGTTAAAATTACATCAATAAGGAATGGGTTGTCTAAATTCTTAAAACATGTTGGTTTGTCAATTAGATTTACCAAGTTGAAACTATCCATGATGTTTGTAAGGAGTTTACTTTTGGTAGGATTTAGCATATCATAGTTTATGTCCCCAGTTATAATTACATGCTCAAATTTAATGAATAATTTGTCTAATGTTTCAGATAGCCTTGATTCGAAAAGATTGTCAGTCATTGAAGGTGGTCTTTATATAAAAATAATTCCCCATTTTCTTTTTAACAAATTCAATTCAAAACATAAATTTTCCAGACCTTGATTTTTTAAGTCTGTACGGCGTTTAATAGGTAAATCAGCCCGTATAAGTGTCAGCAAGCCTCCACCATGGGCATCTCTATCACATCTGTGTAACTTGTATCCATTTATTGAGAACAGGTTATCACTGAAAGAATGATCAATTTTGGTTTCAGAAATACAGAAAATATCAACAAAACTATTATCAAAAATGGGCCTTATTTCCTGAAATTTATATCTTATACTATTAATATTAAGATGACCAATTATCGGTCTTTTCCTATTTAAGTTTTTAAGGTTTTTAACATCATCAAAAAATGTCATACAGGTGTTCACTATCACAGGCACTATTATTAAGTATGTCACTGTTATCTAAAACTTCTTCCGTTGTTTAATCATGAAAATCATTAAGAGAATCTAAAATTTCCTGGCTGGGTGGTATCTCACTATTTAGATTTTCACATGTGGTGTTTATAACTGATTTGCTATTAGAAGAAGTGTGGTCTACCCAATTTTCCTCCTCATCGCTCGAGAGGGTAAAACTGTCATTTATTTGTCTATAGTCATATGACTCAAGTGTTGATGACAGATCATGAGTACATGTAGGATGTGTAGTTGATTCCTTAGATAATTCTAATAATTCAGGTATACATGGTAAAAGTGGCACTTTAAAACACCGAGTACATATATAAGGATCCGGGTTATTCTGCAATAATACATAATCTTTTGGAGATATATCAGCACATTTTATATGTAGCCATTTATCACAAGTCTCACAGAGGACTGACCGGTGTGTTTTGGCAACAGCTCGTGAGCACAGCCCGCAGGGGTGTTATATCGGTCCAGGATTTGTGGCAATATCTCCACACAATAGGAGGAGGGACAGTCTGTAGAACCCTCTAAAGTGCATATAGCGTAGGTTTCGTCTCATACGTATATAGTGAAAATATCATGTTGACTGTATTGATATTTCATTATCACTAGTGGGCATAACTAGATCTCTATAGAGTTGATCTCTTACCATCTGGTTTGAAATAGTAGCTGGATTTGTAATATAATCGGGATCAAGTTCCCATCCTGTTGTTAACTTTTCTTTGACAACACAGTAAAAGTTCGTTTCTTCGCCGCATACACACAATAACAACGTAAAAAATATGGGGGCAGGGGACATATTCGAATGATGGCCCCGGTCAAATTTTTTAATAACTCAAACATGGTGTTTTGGAGGTACTGATAACTTCTGATATTTCTCTGTCATTGTAATTCTTTCTTGTTTGTGTGTAGGAAATGAGAAGTATTTTTGGGGTTTTACCCGAAACTAAGCATTTTGGTAGCTTTGTATGCATTTCTGACTCTCCGAATGGAGGTGAAAAAGTTAAAAATCAAGCTTTGACAGTTGGCGCCAAACAAGTAAGAAATTTCAGATAAATTTTGTGAAAAATCTAAACGTATGACAGACACTTTATTGGTCATTTCTGAAAATGCCATAGCTTGCACTGTGTGTTACTGATATTTTTAAAGGAATCGGGCGGATTCTGGAGTATGCTGCACCTTCATGAAGATTGCCCATATTGGTATATTTTAGGTGTGATTTTGGCTGGGTGGGGGTAAATATAAATTGCTGTCAGTCATTTTTTGAAGGAGCAATGCATGCAAACTATTATTTTCTTCAATGTATGTCATATATCATTGAATAATGCTGTGCAACTGGTTATCTGCCTGTAAAACAGATTTTGAAATATTTTGAATTGTGTTTCTGGTCACACTCAGAATGAAATACAAAATTTTTCATTTTTAGGTCCCCTGCCCCCTAAGTCTTATGGGCGCAGCCATATTTGTTTACAAAGTTATGTAGACGCATAAACGATGACATCAAGCTTCTTGCGACATAGATTTTGGAACGGGAAAGTTAAAAAGTTGCAAAAAAGATTCTTTTCTTATTTTGTTGGTTAAAATTTGGATAAAAGTAAGAACAATTAAAATAGAACAGTTCATAAGTAGTAGTTGATCGGTATATTGGTATTTGACGTTTTTTGTTGATATTTTTTTACACCTAACGAATGTAAACAAGAAAAATGAAGTCGTCTGTTGAACGCACTTTTTATGCTCCCCGAAAAATTTCGGGGGAGCATATAGTCGTCGGGTTGTCCGTCCGTCCGTCAGTCCGTCCGTCCGTACGTACGTACGTCCCAAATTCGTGTCCGGCCCATAACTTTGTTATTTGAAGTCGGATTTTAAAATTATTTCACAGAAGTGATCACCATATGGAGACGACGTGTCGCGCGCAACATTTAGGTCGCTACCTTGAAGGTCAAGGTCACAGCATGACCTTGCAGCAAAATCGTGTCCGGTCCATAACTTCATTATTTGAAGTCGGATTTTAAAAATATTTCACAGAAATGATCACCATATTGAGACGACGTGTCGCGCGCAACATTTGGGTCGCTACCTTCAAGGTCAAGGTCACAGCATGACCTTGCAGCAAAATCGTGTCCGGTCCATAACTTTGTTATTTGAAGTTGGATTTTAAAAATATTTCACAGAAATGATCACCATATTGAGACAACCAGTCGCGCGCAACATTTGGATCGCTACCTTGAAGGTCAAGGTCACAGCATGACCTTGCAGCAAAATCGTGTCCGGTCCATAACTTTGTTATTTGAAGTTGGATTTAAAAATATTTCACAGAAATGATCACCATATTGAGACGACGTGTCGCGCGCAACATTTGGATCGCTACCTTGAAGGTCAAGGTCACAGCATGACCTTGCAGCAAAATCGTGTCCGGTCCATAACGTTGTTATTTGAAGTCAGATTTAAAAAATATTCCACAGAAATGATCACCATATTGAGACGATGTGTCGCGCGCAACATGTGGGTCGCTTCCTTGAAGGTCAAGGTCACAGCATGACCTTGCAGCAAAATCATGTCCGGCCCATAACTTTGCTATTTGAAGTTGGATTTAAAAAGTATTTCACAGATATGATCATCATATTAAGATAACGTGTCATGCACAACATTAAAGTCGCTACCTTGAAGGTCAAGGTCACAGCATGACCTTGCAGCAAAATTGTGTCCGGCACATAACTTCATTATTTGAAGTCGGATTTTACAACTATTTCACAGAAATGATCACCACAATGAGACATTGTGTCGCGCGCAACATTTGGGTCTCTACCTTGAAGGTCAAGGTCACGGTATGACCTTACAGCAAAACCGTGTCTGGCCCATAACTTTGTTACTGGAAGTCGGATTTAACAACTATTTCACAGAGATGATCACCATATTGAATCGACGTGTCACATGCAACATTTGGGTCACTACCTTGAAGGTCATGGTCACAGCATGACCTTGCAGCAAAATAACGTCAGGCGCATAACTTCGTTATTTGAAGTCGGATTTAACAACTATTTCACAAAAATGATCACCATATTGAGACAATGTGTTGTGCACAATATTTGGGTTGTTTTTACACTTTGAACTTTGTCTGTGACATAACTCTGACACAACAAGAGGTATACCTTCCTGTGTCCAAAACCTATTTGGGGAGCATCACCCGGTTCAACCGGCTCTTGTTTTGTAATTAATATTAAGCTTTCACGAGGTCATATTTGTTTTCAATACTGATGAGAATATGTATCATTACTCTTTTTGGGTAAATATTTATCATTTTACAGTTTAACCCATTACTTCATGAGTATTTTGTGAAAAATGGCTGTTTTCATTGAAAAGTCTCCCGTTACAAGTTCAAATTGCTATAATACTATAAAAACTGTTTCAACACTAATTAAACTTGGTACAAATGTTGACTGGTCCATTGCCCTTGCAACAACATGCTCAAGCTTAAATTTTTTGTTACCATGGCAACGAGGGACATCTCAAAATTGCCAAAAATCACTATTTTGCGTTGATTTTTCCATCAAAATTGATTTCAAAGTTCTGCAACTTCTCAATGGATTGAGATAGAGTCAAATGCTTTTCAGCGTTGGTTACACGTTAACTTATGATCAATCTGGGGTCATTTATAGCCTCTCACAAGTCCAAAATTTTCTTGGCGATGAGGGGGACTCCGCCCCCTTCAAACCCCCAAAACAGAAGGGGGCACATCCCCCTTCTGGCAACCCCTGATGTATCTCTTGGTTGGGGGCCGCGCCGAAAAAGAGGTCACTTTTTGACAACATTTCTCAAACAAAAACAAGTGTTTGGGGCCTAAATAAGGCATTTTTTCACCATTTGAGACAACAAAAGGGGGGGTGAAAAAGGCGTCTTTATAACGTAATGGGTTAAAAGTGCTTGTAAATCGGAATTAACGCTGCGTAAAATAGAACCGTACGCGCATCGCCACAACACGTGTTGTTTACAACGTGGGGTGCCAAACGGGGAAATTTAGTGTGTCTATTACCCGTCTGGCTCGAAATATCAATTTATTTTGGGTGATCAATATCCAATCAAAAAGGCGGAAAAATCTTAAGGGTAATAATATAATATATTGATCGAGGTAATATTTTGTTTTAAACACTTAACCACCATCAGTTTAAATTCTGAGAGATTGTACACGATGATATTTATAGCTATAGGTGAAGCTCTATAGATGACGATGAGATGTGACCATTAGTGCAAAAATGTGGGGGTTTTCCGTGGATTGGGTTTCATGAAGTTAAAATCGCAATGTATTTAAAACCTTACTTGGATAATTCAAGCAGTATTTACAAAGAGAGCTTTGATATGGTATACACTAAGTAAAAAGATACAACAACAAAACAACAAAAGGCATAAAAATGATGACTATTAAATATGTTTCCTACACTTTATTGTTCATGGAATTAATGGCATACACTAACGGATTTTCTCAATTTGATTTGACGAAGACAAAATGTGTTGAAGATAACAATGAAACATTGACTTGTAACTTTATACCGAAGACTCTCCCAGTTGGAGTCACGACAGTGCATTTGAATTTGAGTCTGATGGGTAACATGTATCTGAGCAAGTCTACATTCATTGACTATTCTTGGAAAAAAGTAAAACTTCTGGAGATCAATGCCGACTTACAAACTAGAGAAGGTCACTTGATATTAAAAGATTACTGTTTTAATGGTCTGGGAGAATTGAAAGAATTAAAACTGCATGTAAACTGCTCATTCGATATGAATCCAAACACTTTCATTAGCGTTAAAGACGTACGCGTTCTGGATTTTAGCAGGAGTGTTAGATTTACATTGAAAGATTTAATTCCTGCTCTGAATGGATCTGATAAGTTGCCAGAATTAAATAAATTGATATCATCAAAATGTGATTCACCGTTGTCTATTGATGACCAACTCATGGAGGTACTTCAGTCAAAGAAAATTTATTATTTGGATGTGAGTAGTACTGATATAAAAACAGTAAATATTACTGCCGTTTTTAAACGATTAGCCTTCTTGCAGGTCTTGGATGCATCATATAGTAATATTAATTTCTTCATATCTACTTATTTAGAGCAAGGCGACATGAAACGCATAAAATTTGTTGATTTGAGTTTCGTTAATCTTCCGAAAAAGGTATTTCATCTTCCACCAGGCAGACTTGTGATAGAAAATACAAATACTAGTTTTTCTAAACTTTCTAATAAGGAAGACGTCAAACTATTTTTAACTCCTGAAATTGTAAATATGAGCGGTATTATTTCTCACTTTTCGTCGATTTGGATAAAAAGCGTCAATTTTACCCTAGACGTAAATCCTTCTACCTTCACAAAAGAATTGATCATGAGGCAAAACAATTTAAGGTGGCTTGATGTAAATGTCATTTGCGAGAATTTCAAATTTTCATCATTCAGGCGCATGGATTTATCTGAAAATGGTATGCAGTTTTTACATCCAAACTTTTTGTCATGCTTTCCAAATCTGCAGACATTAGACTTGTCAAGCAATGAGTTGGTGAAAATGTCCCGAGGGAGCTTAGGGTTGTTTGAAACGTTATTTTCAGGTCTCAGAAATTTAAAAAACATTAACATGTCAAAAAATAGTTTAAATAAACTTCCGATGAAAATATTCGAGAATAATAGGAATATCGAAATTATCGATTTATCGGGTAACATATTAGATCAAGTTCACATTACTTTGACTGAATTGTCTAGACTATCCGTGCTTAATCTTTATGGAAACAATATTCATGTCTTAGACCAAATGTCTATTTATAACTTGAATAGCATTTCACACGGTAATGCTACTGACATTGGGAAAAACATTGTTATTTTAAAAGCAAATCCCATTTCGTGTTCAGAATGCAAAGAACTATCATTTCTCGTTTGGCTGACATCAACGAATCTTGTTGATCTTGGTTCACAGCAATTGATTTGTTACAATGAAAAGGATGAAGCAGAAATTATAACACAAGAGACAGTCAAGAAAGTCAAGTTGATTTGTCAAAGGAAGGTTACTATAATTGCTACAAGCGTTTTAGCGGGATGTATTTCACTTATTATTATAATTTCACTTCTGATATTTTATCACCGAAGGAAGCATAGGAAAAGGTTACAAAATAGAGCAAATGTAATTAATATGTTACGTCAGGGCGATGGTAACTATGAATTTGCGGTTTTTCTTGCCTTCAGCAATGAAGATGAGGACTTTGTCAATACGCATATTCTACATCAGCTGAATGAAAATCTTCAGTTGATGACAGGAGTTGATAGAGAACTAGTTTGTACAGGTGACCGACATTTTCGACCTGGTTTCTATGTTCAAAATGAAACGTGCAGACGCTTGGCAACAGCGTCTGTTTTAATTGTAGTAGCTACGGAAAACTTTTGTCAAAGTGTTTATTGTAGAGGTGAGCTTGAGCAAGCGTTCATGCAATGGAAACCAATCATTTTGATGTTTATTGAACAAGTGGAACAAGAACTGATGCCACCAACAATGAGAGAGGTATACCAAAGGAATGTAAGGATTGTGTGGACATTTGAAAACGGTGAATACAAAATGAAAACAACATGGGAAAATGTTTGTAAATCTGTTTTAGACCTTATGAAATGAGGACCAATGTTCGCGTTTAATTATATGTACATGCAATAGTGTGTCTTCAACTGTATAAAGTAGTTGCATGTGATGCCTCAAATATCTCAACTTTGAGAATAAGTTGCTATGGTCAAACTCACTCTTACTAAAAATATAAAATTAACAAAAGTTTGTTTATTTTGTAGATAAATCTGACAGAACTAAAGACGAATATATACAAATCAGTCTTCAATTTAAATAATGCCAAGGATTCATTAATCATTCACATGCAGTGGCGTACCTGCCGATACGCCAATACGCACGGGAGTATTTCATGAATAGAGTTTCGAGAAATTAAAATTTAAAAAATGACGTGCGTGAAATTTTTTTATGTAGATCGATCTATAGTTGCATACAATCAAAGTTGAGTGAAGCACATTCATGTTAAGGGAAAAGAACACGGGAAGAAATTTTAGCGAGAAATTTTCTATTGTGTTTATTTGTAATACAAATAATCAATTTTTAAGTAGATTGAATTACTATAAAAATTCAATTTATACCACCCTATGTGGATTTTATTAAGAATAATAATTTTAAAAACTTAAAAAAAATAATGTTTTTATGCTTATAAACCTTACTGAACTTTATATTTTTTGGATCTTTTGTAGTACAAAGGAATACGTGTCAGCCTTTTCATATTTTATCCTGTAGTTGTTTGTCAATGTATTAGTCTGTCACATTCATTTCATCTTCATTTGAAATTGTGTAGAATATTTTGGGTCCTACAAAATCTGATCTTAGCAGCAAACAATTGCCAACAACTATTATCACAAACCGAATTCAACTTTATTGTAATTAATATTTTTAATCAAATGTCCGTAAAAATAGTAGATTTTCAAGACATATAACTATTCAAAGCTATTTAAACATATTTCATTGACTATACACATGAGTTGCATATTTCTGCAAACAATGACATCTTTTATGTATTTTATAATAGTCTCATCTATATATACATATAGAACAGAGTTAAAATTACTATAAAAACAAAATAAAGCCATGTGAGAGAATGTTCTTTCTTCCTTTTTCTCATTTTTACAAAACTAAAATTTGTTTCCACTCTTGCTTTAAATAAACCGTAATTTTCATTTGTAAATATTTGTATGCGATACAAAATCTTATATGTTATTTTTCTTTTTTTTTTTAGATTTTGACTTGAATTTCTGCCAAACTAGTAAGCCATTAATTTTAATTGCGTAATAATATAACTAAAATATATCGGATTAATCTTAAAGATTAAAATTGAGGAAAACTTGTCAAAAACAATTATTCTTTAAAATTAACATAATGCACTTCTAAAACTATTGATTTTTTTATGAACCTATGTGATCGCGTATTAATAAATTTTAAGGTGTTTTTAAGGTGTGGTTTTGATGCTATAGATTATTGTTACACTTATACAGTTATACACTTATACAGTTAATCTGTTGTGTTCGTTTTATGGTCATACAGATCGTTTTAAAAGCGACATTTTCCTTGTTCCTTGATTATATCTCATGTTTAGGTATGTTGAAATAAAGAAAAAATGAACAAAACATGTTGTTTTAAACTTCTTGATTGGAATAGAGATATCTGGCTTTGTTTTGTTTTTCTAATGGTAAATACGTTTTAAAGCAATATTTCCCCTTGATTATATCTCATGTCATCCTCGGTAACCCAGGCGTTTTAAAGTATACATGTATTAAATGCAGTATATTCGGAATGTGTACCGTGGTTTTCGACGTCTAGGTTTATTGAAAAAGAAAAAAAGAAAAAAAAAGTTAACCATCTTGATTACAATAGAGGTATCTGGCTATACTTAGTTTTCCTAATGGTAAATAACTTTTTTTTTAAATTATTTAATAACAGCACGTCTTCACGTCAGACTTCATGCAAATAGAACACTTTGGCCTAAGGGGATGTAATAGGCGTATACTCAAAATAAGCCGAGGTACGCCCCTGGCATGTGTGTTCATGATATAGTATAGTTCAGAAAGTAAATCAACGTTATGTTTATTATAATATGTAGTATTGTTTTCAAAGAAATGCATATATACTAAGATGAGCACAGTATAAATATGTATATTTGTATGTTTGTAAAATTCTAAAATGTTAGTCTGAACCCAAATTAATATTCCACCTGTATTTAAATATGTTACACCTGTTTACCTAAAATAATAGTTATTAAGTGGAAGCAACATATTTTCTTTTGCTCTTTTGCATAATTGATGATGAAATTGGCCATAACTATGTTAAAATTTAGTGGCGTTAATCAAAATTTAATATTGAACTGTATTTCATATTGTTTCATCAAACTACCAAAAATAATTGCAATGAATTGACTCCTTTATGAAATATCATCTAAAAACTTTATTTTGTGCAAAATTGAATATGAAAAGGGGACATAACTATGTAAAATTTAGTGGTCTGAACCTAAATTCGAATTTGACCTGTATTTAATGTAAAAAATATAATAATCCATTTATAACTCCAGCAGTTATCATCTGCAAACATTTTTTCCCGAAAATCTGAAGCTTAAAAGGGACATAACATAAAGATTTAGAAGTCTGAACCTAAATTTGAACATGACCTGCATTCTTTATAATGTAACATATGTGTACCAAAAAATATTACCATCTGTTGACTCCTTCAAAAGTTTTCGTCTAAAAAAAACCTTTTTTCATCAAAATCTGCTAAAATTCAGGGGTCTGAGCCCAAATTCCAGCTTGACTTGTATGTAATCATGTTACACCTATGTACAATCTGCTGACTCCTTCAAATGTAAGTGTAACTATAAATTTTTTTAAAGAAATCATGAAAGCTAACATTTTTTTTAATCATTATCATATCTTTGCGCTTAAAGCAATACTTGTTGCTTTTTAATAATGTGTCAAAATCGGAGGTTTTTAGTCGCTATGTAAGATAAATGTGATTGGCCAAATAAATTTTGGAGTGTAGCTTATACAGGTGAATCATATAAATAAATGGAAGCCAAGCTTCGGTTAAAATTAGGAGTTTAAGGTTGTTTTCTATTGTTCCCTACTTAATACCGGATCGCCGTGGTTAGCCGGCATAGTGAAGCCCCGTCCGAGCTTTTAGTTTTCAATTTTGCCGTTTAAAATTTGGTAGTACCCCAGGAAAAGACTTTAATATTGTAAATCATTATATACTAAAGTCACAGGGTAATGACCATTGATTAAGTGTGTAAACAGTAAATATGAATAGGTCTTTTATATAATATACATTATTTAGTATACAATGTATGAAGGTATGTTCAATAGCATTCAAATTAATGACTCAAAAAACAGTTGAACTTAAAATAAAGTTTCCTTTTAAAAGGAAAGGCTTGCACAGTTGTGCCTTCATCCCAACACTTTAAAAAAAAATTTTTTTTTGGTTTCAATTTATTATCACATTTATTTTTTTTTTGAATTACGGTATTTGTATATCATAAAGGGTTTATTTAGTTCTCTTATCTCTATTGTATAAAACTAATAAAGAAAATGATCAATCGTAAAAATACTAACGTGATACTGAAGGAAAACAAGTGTGCACATTTCATTTCCCCTTTTTCGCAGCGAAATCATTCCTTTGCTTTATAGACAAGTAAATGCACTAAAATACTTCGTTACGTGGTACCAATTAATAAGCATACATGTATCAACTATGTTACACGATCACAAATAGACGATGCGCTATGTGGCAAGGTTAATGATATGCATGGGCTATTTTTAGATTACCTCACCAGTTCAGTAGATCTAAATATAACTCGATCATGCGTGATTTTGGTAAGCAGGACCACCCTTTGAAGACGGAATACTACTACCATTCTCTATTGTATAAAACTAATACAGACAAAAAACAATTATAAAAGAAACTAACTTTTGCGTCTTGAAAAACAATTGAAACGGAACAATTTCGTTTATAATTTATTACGGTAATCAAGTAAAAATAGAAATCCTATTTATATAAACAAACTGGGATTACCGAAGTAACTAAAATAGCTTAGATTTCCGTTATATTACTTCGTCTGATTCCGCAGTATGACGGAATCGCCCGAATTGTCACGATTGCAATCGGAACTACATCGGCTATTATCATTAATCCGAAGAGTGACGGAAAAGGCCGAAAGGTTGCGATTGGCACGATTGCAGCTGGTTACCCGTTCAATCATGCACCAACAGATGTAAGCAGGAAACCACCTAACCGGAACAAGATTTCCATATGAAATGGCTTGCAGCCGTGGCTGCAAGCCAAAAATCAATATTGGCCAACTCTTTATCAAATAAGGTTTTCAGTTAATGGCACTTGAAATATTGTCGTTGCAAAACTTAAAGCATCATGCCTCCAGATTCATTCTAATTTTCATTTTTTTTATATGCCCGAAAGAATTTCGGGCATATTATGTTATACCCCCTGGCGTCCGTCCGTCCGTCTGTCTGTCTATCCGTCCGTCCGTCCGTCCGTCTGTCCGTCCGTCCGTTAGCAATTTGGTTTCCGGAGCATAACTTAAGTTCCATTTGGCCCACAACATTCAAACTTCATAGGATGATTGTCCATATTGGGTAGAAGACCTCTATTGATTTTGGGGTCACAAGGTCAAAGGTCAAGGTCACTATGACCTTAAAACTGAAAACAGTTTCCGGAGCATAACTTAAGTTCCATTTGGCCGACAGTGTTCAAACATCATAGGATAATTGTCCATATTGGGTAGAAGACCCCTATTGATTTTGGGGTCACAAGGTCAAAGGTCAAGGTCGCTATTACTTTAAAACTGAACACAGTTTCCAGGGTATAACTTAAGATCGATTTGTCCCACAATATTCAAACTTCATAGGATGATTGTCCATATTGGGTAGCATACCCCTATTGATTTTGGGGTCACAATGTCAAGGTCAAGGTCACTATTACTTTAAAACTGAAAACAGTTTCAAGAACATAACTTAATTTCTATTTGGCCCATAGTTTTGAAACTTCATAGGATGATTGTCCATACTGGGTAGAACACCCCTATTGATTTTGGGGTCACACGGTCAAATTTCAAGGAAGCTATTACCTCAAAACTAAAAACAGTTTCCAGGGGCATAACTGAAGTTCCATTTGGCCCACAATATTCAAACTTTATAGGAGGATTGCTATTTGAAGGAGGTAATACTTTGTTGAATTTATGTAATATCTTACAAATGCTTCATCCTAAGTAAAGAAAAAAACACTTTCGGGCATATAATGCTCCGCCTAGCGGTGCTCTTGTTTAATATGTTGTGAAGTGAACAAAGAAAATAATTTACACATTGCAATCATCACTAACAATCCATCAGAAAGTGTCAAACTTT